TCTAATCACTTTAAACGAATCACTTTTTTTAATTCAAATGTAACTCAACTTTAAATCAACCTCATTATCCTCAACATTATCAATATAATAAAATAATAACACTCAATCATTCTTACACATTACTTCAACTTTAATTCATGTTGAATTCACTATTCATCTACTCACATAATTTTAACTAACAATCACTTCACATCATCTCTCGGCCTACTTTTACATCAAATCAACTTTAATTATTTTATTTTAAATATTAGTTTAATACAAACTCAAAATTTTCACTAACAACTAACCATACTACTTTTTTCAAAATTAACCAAAGCAAACCAAAAAATCTGAACCAAATCAAAATATTTCATTGGCCTTCTATTTAATGATTTAAGTTTTTATTAACTTAAATTAGTAAACACGAAGCTCTTTTAGTCTTTTTTTTTCTTTAAATTAATTTTCTAAAAGGTGTAGATATTGTAGAAGAAATAAAATTAATATCTGAAAAATAAGTTGCTCCTAAAAGAATGTACTTCTCTTGTCTAATGTAGTTTCATTGATTTTTTTATTGGTTCATTTTGATCTTTAGACCAAATAGAATTTTCAGATATTGATTTCCAGCAAGTTCGAACTGCTAAGGATTTATAGACCTTGACTCAACGGGTTGGGGCCGAAACTAGTGCCTCAAACGATCTACATCTATATATTGAACAAATCGCAAAGATTCCAGAATTACAGATATACAACTGCGAGAATTGTGTTAAAATCATGTCGTGTATTTCACAATTATATATGTACACTTACATAAAGACATAGGATAGGCCATAACCTAGCCCTATAACCTAGCCAATGATACAATAATACTACTCTACAATATTATAACTAACAACTGTGAATTTGATCAAGTATAGTGGAGATCAACTTGAATTTGCTAAGAAGCAACCAGAAGTGACCGAGAAAGAGTGATTTTGTGAAGAAATCTGTTGTTTGAACTGTAGAGGAAATCGAAATAAGTTGCACATTCTCATGGGCAATATGATGTCGAATAAAGTAACAGTCAATCTTAGTATGTCTGGTGCACTCACGAAAGATATCATTATGATACATCTTTATAGCACTGATAATCACAATATAGAGCAGTAGACGACGATTGAGGTGCACCGAGATTAGCAAGTAACCGACACAGCCACAATAGCTCTGAGGTGGAATCAACAAGAGCATGGTACTCAATCTCATCACTCGATCTTAAAAAAAAAGGTTTGCTTCTTAAATGTACCGGGATACAAGTGAATCACCTAAAAAGAAGCAGAACCCAATAGTGGAACGACTATCTGTAGCATCACCAGTCCAATCTGCATCAGAATTGCCGCTAAGTGTCAAGGAAGAACGGGCTAAGAAGTGTAAACAATGTAATAGAGTACCTTTCACATAGTGAATGATGTGCAATACAACAGAATAATGAGTGGTTTACGACGCAGCCATAAAATGACTCATAATATGAACAACATAACCTGTATCAGACCGAGTGAAAGTCAAATAGATCAATGTCCCAAAAAATTGACGATATAATGTAGGATCCTCAAGAAGAGAACCAACAAGTGGAGTAAGGCGAACATCATAATCAAGATATGCGGAAGCTATTTGTCAATTAGTGAGATCGACCTGAGGAAGAAGATCAGAGGCATACTTTGCTTGAAACAAATAGAAGCCATCAGCGCAATCAGAGATCTCAAGGCCCAAAAAATAGCTAACCTGACCCGAACTCTTCATCTTAAAATGATTACAAACATAATCATATAAATTAAAACTACGAGAGACATCATATCCCGTGATTTTCATATCCTCTACACAGAATAATAGAACAATGATGCCATATAAGGAGCGTCAAAGAAATAAAGCAGAATCGTGATCACTCGTAGTTCAAACTGAAAGAATGCATAACTAAATGTAGCATACCAGACACGAGGCGCTCGTTTCAAACCATACAAAGCTCGACGTAAATGACAAGCCTTCCCATATGACAAAGGCCCTAAATAAGGAGTCATGTAAACCTTCTCAGATAAGGCACTATGTAAGAAGTCATTCTTGACATCTAACTATAGAAGAGACCATCAATGAACATAAGCAACTGCAAGTAAACCACGGATAGTAGTAAGACGAGCAACCGATGGAAAGGTCTCTTCATAATCTATGACATACTCCTATTAGTAACCTTTAGCAACCAGACGGGCTTTGTAAGGTTCAATAGATCTATCTAAATTTTTCCTGATTTTATAAATTCATTTGCACACCATGGGTGTCTTGCCAGCAGGTCGATCCATCAAATCCCAAGTAAGAGTCTTTTCTAATGCCTGCAATTCATCAGCCATAGTTTGTTGCCACAATGGATCACCACTCATCTCAAGAAATGACATAGGCTCGTGATGAGATAGTATGATCGAATAACAATGATAGTCGAGTAGGTGAACAAGGGGATGAATTACAAGAGTTTACCTTCGGTGATCAATGGTAGTTGTAGGGACTACATTAAGAATAGACTCAACAAGAAGCATTGGTTCAAAATGTGCATGTGGAGCCACTTCAAGAGACAGAGGCAGGACAGACAGGTCATCAAGTTGTGAGCCAGTATAACTTTCTAGAAAGAACATGAAAAATGGGGACGATGAATCAAATGGAGTGTGGAAATTTGACAATGAAGAAAATATAGTATGCTCCCAAAAGGTAACGTGACGTCAAATGCGCAACTGATTTGAAATAGGATCCCAACACCTAAATCCTTTGTGTTCGACCTCATAACTCAAAAAACAACACATACGAGCACGGGGTTCAAATTTGTTTTGCTCGTGGTATGGGATAAGAACAAAACAGACACAACCAAAAGAGCGTATAATCAGGTGACTGACCGTACAATCTTTCAAAAGGACTAATATCTCGAAGAACTGACGAGGGTAGTTGATTGATAGCATAAAAACTGTCAAGGTTATTTCACTCCAGAAACCATCGAAAACTTAACAGAAAGGAGAAGAGCACAGACCGTATTAAGAATGTGATCGTGTTTTCGCTCAGTCGACCATTTTATTGGGAAATATAAAGACATGAACGTTGAACTATTTTGCCATGATCAGAAAGAAAATTCACAAAAGTATAATCAGTATACTCAAGGGAATTTTCAATACTCACCAATTGACAATTTTTCAGAAAAAATAAAGAGTCAACTGTTTTCGAAGTTTACAAAGAAGACAACTGAAAAACTCAAAATGACTCGAACCTAAAAGACCTTTATTATATAAAGAACAAACTTTATTTGAAGACGCATGCTCAAGACGAAATTCCATTGGAAGATGGATTGGTTGGTGGTGATAATAGCAGAAAAGGGGTACGAGCGAAGGGTATGAAGACTAATTATCTCCTGACAAGATAACACTTATAGAAGAATGCACATCTAGACGATGCATATCCAAAATAAAATAATCTCCAACGCAATATCACGACACAGATGAAATCAACGAATAGAATCACAAATCAGACAGATATCAGTACAAACAACAATTAAAACTCACGAATACCAAATCTGATCGGACCAGAATGTAGCCAACATTGACAAAAGTCAATGGTTAAAGGGCCGCGACGAACTGTAGTGGGGGTGAGATACATGTGTCGGCGAAAGCTTTCGGTGTTGTGACGAAGATGAGGCGCGTGTTGGCCGCACGTGCCGCCAACTGACGTGAAATTTCCGGCGAAGACTTGCCTCGGGACGCCAAAGAGGATGGCTGGGGTGGTGAGAGTCGACTATGGCAGGAGGCGAGCAACAAAAAATCTAGCCTACCATAACCCTAGTTCTGATGCCATGTGAGAATTGTGCGTAAATTATATTAGATATGTATTCTTATATAATATAAAGACATAAAATGAGCTCTGACCAAACCACCGTAACCTAATCTATAATACAATAATACTACTCTATATTACTATAACTAGCAAAATTATTTAGCAACAAGAATCAATCACGATTGTTAGGTATTAAAGTAATTGAGCTTGCTAATTAATTAGAGAAATTACTCAATTAGACGTGAGAAAAGGTCTAATAGGTCTCACTACAAGAAAATGATGAAATTTCAACGGAAATATATTCCAATAGAATTTCAACGGCAATTCCAATGGATATTTCAATGCTATTATTTCCGTTGGAATAATTCCAACGGAAATTCAAATAAAAATATTCCGTTGGAATGAGTTTTCCATTGAAATTTTCGTTGGATTTTAATGATTCCAACGGTAGATTTTCTAACAGTGGTGGAAATAAAAATTCCAACCGAAATTCCTAAAGTGAAAAGCCGTTGGAAATATAGTCGTTTTAATCATCAAATTCCATCTGAAATTTCAATGAAAAATACATTCCAACGGAATATTGTCGTTGGAATTTCCGTTGGAATCATTCTAATGGAAGCTATACCATTGGAATATCCGTTGCAATTTCCATTGGAATATATTGCCATAGAATTTTTCGTTGGAATATAACAATTTTTTTGTAGTGTCTTGTATATATTTATTTTCTATATAAATTGTAGTTTTGAGATTCCAACAAATTTCGCTAGCTCTTCGTTTTTCTATTCTATCTATGCTACTTTTTTCGACCATGTTAATTATTATATTTTTCGGTTAGTTAATTTATTGTGACCAACACCGCTCTCACATTTTCTCCTACTAGTGTTGATCTAGCTAGATCAAACAATCACTTTTGAAGGTCACAAAATATCTCGAATGTGCGTGCTTATGGGTTTGAAGGACTCTTTCTTAGCAAATCAGACAACCTCATTCTTTCTTAAATCAAACTATGCCATTGACAGTATCAAGAAAATTAACCAATAGTCCATATATATAATATTTCTTAGAAGTGATTGCTTAATTAAAATAAAAAAAAATAATACTAATAATATAAAGATCATTTGATTGATACCTTGAATATTCCAACTTGAGGGAAGACTGCGGATCACCCATTACTCCTTGTGAAAATAAACATGATTTTGCATGTACTGTTGAATTTTGCCACTGCTATCATTGTCCATCGCCATCATTTCCTCATCAATGGCGCCATTTCCATTATCCGATCCAATATGAAAGCTAGAGCCCACATCCAAACTGAAGTGATTGCTATAATTATTATTATTATTCAATTGTTCCTCACAAGCGGCAACCTGCAAACACAGAGAATGCAGACGGCGGAGCTCTTGGTGATTCCAACGGTAGATTTTCTAACCGTGGTGGAAATAAAAACTCCAACGGAAATTCCTAAGGTGAAAAGCCGTTGGAAATATAGTCGTTTTAATCATTAAATTCCATCTGAAATTTCAATGAAAAATACATTCCAACGGAATATTATCGTTGGAATTTTCGTTGGATCTGTGTGTAACTTTTAGGTGATAGATAATAGTTATTTGTAATTTTATCCATGTAGGTGGGAAATTTTAATATTTTAAAAAATAATTATTTTAATTTTAGATAAATTTTTATTTGCTATTAGTTTTTTTAATATAATATATAAATATCATATTACAATATAAAATAATTTTATATTGGGGCACAATATAGTTAATAGAAAAAGTATACCATCAAAATAACATAATGCCATTACAAATTATAAATTATACTTTACATAATTTTTCATGTTTCTCACTTGTAATATATTCTAACACATCAGTACAGTCACAATAAGTTAAAAAATATTTAATAAGAAAATGATGTTTTTTCTCAATTCAACATAAGAAAATTATTGAAAATAATTTTTTTCAAAAAAATTATAAACAAAAAATCTATGTTATAGTATAGCTGACTCGGCAATACAATTGATGAATTTATAAATTATGAATATATAATTATAATTCCCCTTGCATTAGTTAAAAAAGACATAAAAAATATATTTTGAAGATATAGAAAAAAATATGTTGCAAAAGAGAGATTTGAAACTATTATCAATATGGTTCATTTACATTTTATTGAATTCAAAAAGGCCTTTTAAAATAGGAATAGAAAAGTCTATATCATATATTAGATAAAAAATTTGAAAACTTGGCGTGAACTAGCAAATCATTACGGTATTATATCGTAGTGATGCAATTATTCATGATAATAACATGTATAGATAATCTCAGTATATAAATGAATAAGCAGGTCTCAATTGTTGGGTCGTAATTTTGAGATTTATTATATTTTATTTAGTTGTGATGTCGCGTTTATGTTATAACATTAATAAAGTTATGAGTTGAATTAAATTATAATTGGTTGAGTTTGTAAACTAATTCATTATGTAACTTTCTTTCTTTTAATTTCATTTTAATATAGGGGACATGATAAAAATTATGAAAAAATGTTCCCACAATTTCCTTTATAGATCATACTGCCAAGGGTTGTAGGGTGAAGCTTTTTTGTCCGATATCTTTTTTTTATCATTTCCAAAAAAAATGGATAAACTGGGTGTAGATGTAAAAGAGATTCTTTCGTTTTCATCACTTTTACATATGTCAAAAAAATATTATGAGATTTCGGTTCTAGAATTATATTAGAAAATTCAAACGGGAGTAATAACATTGAAATATTCATTAGAATTACCGTTGGAATCATTCTAATGGAAGCTATACCATTGGAATATCCGTTGTAATTTCCATTGGAATATATTGCCATAGAATTTTCCGTTGGAATATAACAATTTTTTGTAGTGTCTTGTATATATTTATTTTCTACATAAATTGTAGTTTTGAGATTCCAACAAATTTCGCTAGCTCTTCGTTTTTCTATTCTATCTATGCTACTTTTTTCGACCATGTTAATTATTATATTTTTCGGTTAGTTAATTTATTGTGACCAACACCGCTCTCACATTTTCTCCTACTAGTGTTGATCTAGCTAGATCAAACAATCACTTTTGAAGGTCACAAAATATCTCGAATGTGCGTGCTTATGGGTTTGAAGGACTCTTTCTTAGCAAATCAGACAACCTCATTCTTTCTTAAATCACACTATGCCATTGACAGTATCAAGAAAATTAACCAATAGTCCATATATATAATATTTCTTAGAAGTGATTGCTTAATTAAAATAAAAAAAAATAATACTAATAATATAAAGAGCGATCGACCCAACGAACTTTTCGAAGCGAAGTTCAATCAGTCTACCGCAGTGAGGTCATTTGATTGATACCTTGAATATTCCAACTTGAGGGAAGACTGCGGATCACCCATTACTCCTTGTGAAAATAAACATAATTTTGCATGTACTGTTGAATTTTGCCACTACTATCATTGTCCATCGCCATCATTTCCTCATCAATGGCGCCATTTCCATTATCCGACCCAATATGAAAGCTAGAGCCCACATCCAAACTGAAGTGATTGCTATAATTATTATTATTCAATTGTTCCTCACAAGCGGCAACCTGCAAACACAGAGAATGCAGACGGCGGAGCTCTTGGTGCGCGCACTCTATTTGAAAACGAAGCTGTTGTATAATCACCGAGCAGCCGTGGACCGGATACCTCCGCCGCATCTCAGCCTCGAAGATGATGGATTTCATGGCGTCCTCCTTTTCGTCGGAGTTGTGTAGGCTGTCGAGTATTTTGGTTATGTTGGATACCCCAAATAGACGGTGAACGTTTTGGAAGGTGTTGGAGTTGTTTGCCGGGAAATAAGGGGCTAAGGGGCAGTTGGGAGTGCATCTCCTCCTCTGGTACTTGCACACGGCGCAGGCTGGGTTTCTATCGCCCTTTCTCACCGTCATGTATCCAAATCGTAAAATGTTTTTTATCTCCCAATTCCCAAACTGTGAAATGATGTTTGACTTGGAAAGGAGACTTTGGAATAAGAAATTAAACAGTTTTTTTAATGAAGTTGGATGTCAACAGCCCACGTGTGGGTTTGTTAGGATCATAGAGAGAAGTAGAGAAGTAAAAGAAACTCGAGTCCCCAATGTGTAGGGGAGTTTGTTTACTTTGGTGTGAAATGAAAGTTGCACGTTGACAAAGTCTCACTTGCCATCTCTATTTACTATCACAGTCAAATAAAATAATGGGAGTGTATTTATTACGAAATATTAAAGACTTTTTTTTTTTTTAATTTACTTAAAATATATTTTAAAACTTTGTATTAAAAATAATTATTTATATTTAACATATCATCATTATTATAAGAAAAAAATATAAAATATGAAAAATTATATATTATATATTTGAATATAATGAGTGTCCTCAACCAAACCAATAATACCCAACACATGATATATAGTAAAATTAATTATATGAATCATCATGTTTTTTAAATAAATATATATATATATATTTAAAAAATATGAAATATTTAAGATTCACATTAAACTTTGTAATTTGGATATGAGATGAAAAGTGATGTGTACAAAAAAAATTAAGTGTTAAGAATCCACATAATATGAGATTCTTTCTAAACTTTAAAAGATTTGGGATTAGATAAATACGGAAAAAAATCATTAATTAAGTTGATCAATCAAAAATAAAAATTAATTTCTGAAATTAAAACTATTTATTAAATAAATTGAATTTTTTCGTTGTGACCATAAAATATGTGATTTTTAGATGGATAAAAAAAATATATGACAATTAAGTTGGCATGATTTTTTGAAAAATTTTCAAAAAATTTCAAACGTTTTATTTGATAAATGATTGACTGATTTTTTGTAACCAAATTTACACATTTGACAGAAAAAATAAGGAAATGATTGATCGGATTTTTTGGAAGTAAGATTATCAAGATTCTTTCTCATTATTGGGTAGATTTACCCGTAGCATTTAAAGAAATCATTGCACATATTTTTAAGAATTAAAGTTTATACAACATCTTTCTCAAATAACATTTTAAGCGAAAATTTTAATACTATTTCAAGTAATTTCTCTCTCTCTCTCTCTCTCTTTCTCTCTCTATTATATGGTAATAGATATCTATATCCATAATCTATAGTAATATAGAAAGATTTTTGAAAAAATACATTTATATTAAGTTTGACAAAAAAAAAAAGGTTTGGCTTACTATTACTGGTAATTTTGAAAAAATAATGTGAATATTTAACAACCATTTAGTCATTTTCTTAGACGATTTGGCCAAATTTTCTTTTCAATAGGAAACATATACAAATTGGCCGGATTTCCTTAAATATGGAACCCATTGGAATCTCATTTTTTTTAACCAATTTGAAGATTCTTATAGCAAAAACATGTCAATTATTTGTAAAGTCGAATCTAAATCCCTCCCTTAATATAATTTGAAAACGTGTTGAGCCTAAATGGCTGGCTCGCACGCTTCGGAAGCTTACTTGGCAACATTACATGCTTCGGTGTTTGGTTTGGATAAAAATTAATACAATTATATTCCAAAATAAATAGGACTCCAACTCCAAATAATATTCTTATTCTTATCTCCTCCAAATAGGATTCTTATTCTTATCATAATTTATTTATTTTAATTCCTTCAAAAATTTTTTACACGTATCCATACTATCACCCCTGTTTAAATGAAAAAAAATTAATTTACCATACACGGGTTTGAAACATAAATGAAAATATAATTAACATATGATGCAATTAAGATAAATCAAACAAGTACCCAAAAAAAAAAGATAAAATCAAACAGGGTATTTTAATAAAAATTAAAATACATATTATCAATCTCAGCATATGAATGAGTGTAGACACATTACTTTGAAAATCTTAAACTGGATATATTTAAATCATATATAAAATTCATGGGTATTGATAAAATATTTATAAAATATTTTCTTTATAAAATATTTAGATAGTTTGCTTAAATTTACACGAGTGTTGAATTAGAAAGCTTTCATAAAAAATGTTATTTTTTTTATTTTTGTAAAAAAACTAAAATAATTTAATTTTATATAAAACATTACTTTGGGTTTTAATTAAATTGTCAAATTATATTTTTTAATCATAATAATTAAAAATCCGTAAATTAAATGAAAATATCAACCCGTGTTGAATTTTTTACTTATATCATACACTATTACATAAGTACAAAAATATATATCTTAAATAAATAGAAATAATATGGTGATATGTATATGCATAAGTGTAGAATATGTTTATTTAATATTAAGCAAGATAAATTAATTTTTTTACTTAATTAGATGTCTAATAATTTATAGTTTTATTTGATATAATTTAATTTAGATTGATAAATAAATTTAAATTTTATTTATAAGAATATATATATTACTGTTTTGTATTATATATATATATAATATGGATGTCAAATCGAAAATCGGTAAAATATAGTTAATTTGATATATCATATATGAAAAATAAAATACAAACAAAAAAGTTATAAAATCTTAAAATAAGAAGACGAAACATTTATAAAAACTAATGAAGGAATTATATAAGAAAATGAAATGTGATATATGGTAATGTAAGAAAATTAACCATAAAATAGTTTATGGTAAATAATTGTAGAAGTAAAGAAGAAAAAAATTAACCATTAAGTTAGTGTGATAAAACATATTAATTTATATCCTATCCTAACTCCAAAGCATGATTTTTCGCCAAATAGGATTTCAAAACTTGAGAGTTTGCCACGTAGATGTGTAGGTATTTAACTAATGGATAAAGAAAAGGCAAAACTTATTAGACACATTAGAAGGGCGAAAATGAAATGTGATATATGGTAATGTAGGAAAATTAACCATAAAATAGTTTATGGTAAATAATTGTAGAAGTAAAGAAGAAAAAAATTAACCATTAATTTAGTGTGATAAAACATATTAATTTATATCCTAGCCTAACTTCAAAGCATGATTTTTCGCCACATAGGATTTCAAAACTTGAGAGTTTGCCACGTAGATGTGTAGGTATTTAACTAATGGATAAAGAAAAGGCAAAACTTATTAGACACATTAGAAGGGCGAAAATGAAAGAAAAACGTGGACTATCTCCTGCAGGAACTGAAAATATTGTTTCAGGTGAGTATATTTTATGGGACTTACTTTTAAATTTTGCATTATATGTAATATATGCAACTTACATAATTATAAATTTTTTATTAGATTAAAGGGTATTATTTTATTTATGTAAAATGCAAACAGTATATATTTCTTTGATTTTTTTTATATATTCGATGTCAGACACTCCATCCAGTCAAGCAAGAAAGTTCAGAAAGTCCTTTATAGATGCAAGGTGAGAAAACGACATTCAGTGTACACAACAGATTTTTTAAATGCAATAAAATGTTATGGAGTTCCTAATCACATTTTAAAATTGAAAGTTGGTATTCCTGTAATGCTGCTTCGAAACATGGATCAATCTTCTGGGTTGTGTAATGGCACGAGGTGAGTGATCACTCGACCATTCTTTTATCTTTTTTGGCATTTATACATTCCTAAATCTTAACTAATTTATTATATATCATTATTGTAAAATTTTTACTTTTATATTAGAAAGAAAAACTGCTAACTTTAATAAATAATCATTATTTATTTTATGGGTTATGTAATGACACCAGGTTAGTCATCACTCGACTTGGAGATCGCATTGTTGAGGCTAAGATTCTATCGGGAGGAATATTGGGAGCAAAGTACTTATTCTGCGGATGTTATTGACTCATACTGATGTGAGATTGCCTTTCAAGTTTCAACGAAGACAATTCCCACTTATGGTTTGTTTTGCAATGACTATTAATAAGAGTCAATGACAGACATTGTCTAACGTCGGATTGTACTTGCCTAATCCTGTATTCAGTCATGGTCAACTTTATGTTGCATGGTCAACTTTATGTTGCATTATCTAGAGTTAAAAGTAGGAGAGACTTGAAAATTCTGTGTTGCGACAAGGATGGAAAAATTGTAAATAAAACTATTAATGTAGTGTACAAATAAATTTTTCAAAATTTGATATAATATCGACTTTGGTATTTTCTATTTTTTTACTTTTATACGACAACATGTGTTTTTTCTATTATTTTATGTTTTATATTTTTTTTAAAACAACCCGTGTAGTACACGGGTGTCGTACTAGTACAATTTAATTTAAAATCCGTGCAACTTCTTCATATCATTTTTATTTTTTACCAAAATCTGGTTCCCATTTTTTGGAAACAAACTTTGAAATTAATCATATTTCCCTTTCCAATTGTTTAGGAAACAAAGCTAATTTTAATTCATTTAAAAAATATGAATGACATGGGTATCCAATTTTTTTTAATAAAATTTGAGATTGGTCAGATTTAGTCGGATTTCCTTTCCAACTACTTAGGAAACAAATATAAATTGGCCAGATTTCTCAAATATGAAATTCATAGGAGGCCCTTTTTTTTCGTAACCANAACAAAAATAATTTTAATTTATTTTAAAAATATTAATGCCATAGAAATCCTTTTTTTCTTGGTAAAAAAATTGAGATTGATCGGATTTCACTTTCCAATTTTTTCAAGAACAAAACTAATTTTATTTATTTCAAAAATATTAATGTCATAAGACTCCCATTTTCCAAAAAGAAAATAAATACTAAGAATAATAACTTTGAAAATTTTAAGCGAATTTTTAATACTATTTCAAGAAAATCTCTCTCTCTCTCTCTCTATATATATATAAATATATATATATATATATATATTATATTGTAATAGATATCTATATCTATAATCTATAGTAATATAAAAAAGTTTTTGAAAAAATACATTTATATTATGTTTGGCAAAAAAATAAAAGGTTTGGCTTACTATTAGTGGTAATTTCAAAAAAACACA